AAGAAAGAAGAAAAAGAAAGAAGAAAAAGAGGAGAAACAAAAAGAAAAAGAGGAGAAAGAGAAAAAACGAGAAAGAGAAAAAAGGGGGAAAAAAGGCAATTAATGACAATATTAATTGACTTTGTGGGCATGTAGAAAATCTTCTGTTCCTTGGGGGATTTGGTCCTTGATGCAGAAGAATTTTTCTACTGGTGGCAATTACACTTAGCTTGGGGTACCCTAATAAAATATTCCTCCACATACTGAAGAAGGAAGAGTTTATTAGAGTGTGACTCCTTACATGACAGAGAGATTGTGATTTCCTGATATTTTATATTAGGCATGCTTGTGCTGTATGGTAATATTTTCTCTGTAATAAACAGAGCTGAATTTAGCAAATAGCTTTGCTTGTTTCTCTGCTTGTGTAGATTACATCTAAGAGTTTTCTCCTTTTCCAAAATTGATGCAAATTGATTTATAGATGTTTTTTTAGAAATAATGGGACTATTTTGTAATGGAGTAGAATACCTCAAGTGTTTTTCCCCTTGTAGATCTCTCTTAACTCCATGGAATCAACAAATATTATCAACAATTAAGCATGGTATATTGTATAATTATGCTTCTATTTTGCTATATTTCAGTATGTGGCTATTTTGCTGTTCGGCTCTTAGTAGATACTTTACATTTTCAACTGCAAAAAAGACTCAGGAACATTTTCTACTTGGAAGCATTAATAAGAAGCATTTATTAGTTTCAAAATTTATAAGCTAATATTTACATAGCAGATAGAAGCTGTCAAGTGATACATAATAAGGATAGATTCTGCAGTGTTAACAGAATTTTAAGGAAGATAAGCTAATGTGAACAATGTGCAAACTAATACAGTTAATTACAAGCTGATATTTCTAGGAAAGAAATAAGTAGATCAGTTGTCTGATGGAGGACTGTGATATGAAGAGTAGCAATACAGACAGGCATTTAAGAGCACATAGAAATGCAGTCCTTGGGTGTACAAACGTGGGGAGCACCATGTATGTACTAAGTAAGGATTCTACTGGTGGAACAGTACGTCTTGGTCTGCTATCTGTGCAAAGGCTGGCAAACAGGAAGTGGCTAAACAGACGTATCTAGAAACTGCCCTTATTGAAGAGACTTTAAAACCCTTATCTCTAGCCCATCACTGAATCACACAAGAGCTAAAGAATGTGAAATCACCTCAGTAAGGAGAATAGTTGTCACCATAGCAATCTTCAGTTTAGCAGACAAACCTTTTAAAAGATGCAGTTTTTGAAAGCTAAGAGACATTTCTGGTTTAAACAAGGCTTGTGAAGTATTGCTTGTCATGCGAAATCTTTAAAGGTGAATTTTTTTCAAAGGAGGTATTGTAGGTCCCGCAGAAATTACGCAGCAGTCACTTGGTCAGTTCATCACCCACCGTGGGCAAAAGGTCAGGCTGGAGAATCAGTGCTTCCTTCGGGGCTGCGATGCCATGAAAAGCCTATGACACTGTGAAACATCACAATGGAGCAAAAAAAGAAACAAACAAACGAACAAAAATACTTTAAAAAACTACTATAATTTTAGAATATCTATCATAGTATTCAAACAGTACTTGATAGAGGCTGCAGTGAATGGGTTTTTAATGAAATCAGGCTAAAAGCCATTTCTAGCTAGACTACAATGTCGTTTCTTCTTCCCCTTTTATTGCTCAATTTTGTTGACTATTCACTAGAAAGGTAGAGTCACTTTTATTTAAGGCTGCCCAGCCCTTCTCCTGTGATAAGATTCTGCTTCCTTTCTTTGTCAGTTTATGAAATCTCTTAAGACTGATATTTCCATGTTGGGTTTTCACCTCAGGATAACTTTCTGGGAAGCATATATCTATACTTGGCAGGAATTGTAACAAAAAGCAAAATGACTGAGTTTAGTTACAACAAGGCAAGGACAATTAGTTCTGAAATATTAAAAAGACTGGTGGAATATATATCAGGAGATATCCCTCTGTTTTAAACTCTCAATGACAGAACATTTTTTCTTATGTGTTGGTAAAAAATGAACATGGTTTTGGGCATTTATAAGTGCTAATCACAAAATAACAAAGGTAATGAACATTGTTAACTAGCAACATGTAATAATCTCAGTGTCAGATAAACTCTTTTTTTCCAGTATGCATATGTAGCTCTTATTAATGTAACTCAAGCTGCACATAATTACTAGTAACAGAAAATCACTGGCATTAACCTCCTACTTACAGAACCACACCTAGCCCTCCAGGAAATCCAGCGAGCTTCCCAGGAATGCCCCTAGCCCTGGCCTAGATTTCAGCCTGTTTTATAACATTTTACAGCAGAAGCTTGTCAGATCTAAGATTTGTAAGATTTGATTGAACAAAGAAACAAAAGTCATTCTGAAATCTGGTTTTAAGTTACACTTCTTATTACAGTTGTTCCTTCGCTTGGACGTGGTTCAGCAAGTTTGTTGCTCTATCCAGCATGCACAGACTGATGCTGAGGTGTGTGGCTATTCATGTCAGAGATGGAGGGCAGAATAAAAAAAACACCATTTCAGTCAAAGCTGCTGTACAAGATGACAAGGATGCATTAGCTAAGATAATATTTTCCTTCTTCTATAATTCCAATGGCTTTACTTTTATCTTCTAGGGTTGTGTGCAATTATTAATGAAAAGAAAATACAACATGGTTTGCTTTGATAGGAGAAGGCTTAATGGTTGATTCCTATTCATTTATTTCACCAGCAGAATAACATTAGTTTTAAATGCACCTGAAATGTAATTACAACATTCTGTCTGATACCAGAATTGTATCCATCAGCTGGTAAAGCATCTAGGCATGGTCTCTGCAATTCAGTTTCAAATGTACTGCTTGTGCCAATATGGGACTCAGAAGTCCTATTCTGTCCTCAGTTTCTTTTTTCACATATATTTCATAATAATAACCTCCGAGCAGTCCCCTTCTGCCTTATTTTTCTAGAAAAA